TGAATGTGACCTAGAAGCTCAGAAAAAATATACATTTCGTCTCACTTCATCAATAGCTTTGAGTGAAAATTCTACTCACTAAGAAGTGGTGTATCCCAACCAGCACATAAAAATAATGGGTCATCTTTTTCTCTTGTTAGATCAATCACAACGAATTGCCTGTCATGTAGATATTTATCAATGATCTTGACTACATCGCGCCAGTTATCAACATATCGGCGAAGAATCCTGGCAAGGTCATCTGTGTTGCAACTCCCATTGAAGAGCACAATGTAATCCAAATTTTTTCGTATTATTGACGGACAGTCAAAAAAGCTTTGCGTTACATACATTAAACTTATATTGGAATGACGCCCTTCAGTGAAATAAGGAACAATCTTTTCTTGCACCTTCTTGGATTCACTGCATGCATCCTCAAAAATAGCTACTGTGCTCTTTGTAGAGGAGAACGAATTTACATTTGGAATTTTATCAGGCTTTAGTATGTCTAATAAATGGAAAAAGGTCACATGTATACGGCACTTCGATAAGACATATACCTTGCTTCTTGCATATATCCCGCTTCTTCTGATCTCGTGACTTTTGCTCGTCTAAATCTATCTGGCCTCTCCTATGAAACATAAAATTAAGAGCATAGTGTTGCCGGCCATGGAATTCGAATGCTAGTTGTAATTCCTCGTTATACCCATTGAGTTGCATCCCATCCAAAAAATTTGGCCTATATGATGGGAATTTCTTCCCTAACAGATCCTCAAAAATATATTGGCATTTACGCTCTTGAGTATGATGGCATAGAGGGCACCAATCGAATTTTTTCATGATATATTTTAGTGGATATTCCCACTGATGCGCATCATTCTCACAGGACCAAAGATACACATTATGTCCATTTATTCGCCCAGTTTTTCCAAGGCATTGTCCACCACGTTTTTCAGCATATTGATTGGCTTCGGTTAAATTATCATTAACAACTTGAACATAATGGACGAATTCAGTAGGATGGTATTTTCGCATAAATCCATCGGGTGGATATTCGATTTTATCGGGTTCCTCAATCACTTGGAGCTCCTCATATTTAAAGGGTCGTTTAGGGTTCCGTCCCATCAAATGAGCAGTTGATCCAATGGGTTCATCCTCGAGATAATATAAGACTAGTTGTGGTGGATTCCTTCCAATAACGACTCTTTTGATCTTATAAACACGTAACGACCAGTATGGATCAGTTGCCCAATGCCTGTGATCACCTTCCAGCTCACCAGGTTTCAATAGATATCTAACCGCTGTACCCTTTTTTAACTTTATCTCTTCGTATCGCCCAATCGTCCGCTTAGCTTTACTAGAGGGTTTCGATTCAATTTCATCCAAAGTCATAGCACGAGCTGGTAACATTCCGATAAGACGAGTCTTGCTATTATTCATAAAATCGATGTACTTTTGAAGGATTTTATTCCAGAGCCTTGAACGCTCTCCTTCAGCTAATCGCCCTTCTATAGCGTATTGGATTTTATATATTAGTTTTGCTAAATTTTTCTTGAATGCTTTAATAAAAGCCAAGCTCTCGAAACTATAAAGATTGATAATACGTATAGTAACATTGTACTGTTGCATCCCTCGTGAAAATGCGCCTCAGAACGAAGCATCACCATCAGTCATTAACAATGTTGGCCATATGAGAGGATTAGAAGGATCCTCATATATTTCTTTGATTGCGATCCAGATTTCTAAACTATTTCTCAATGTTAATGATCATCCAGCCTTAAAACGTATTGCCACATCTATGACTAGAAAGCTACAAACAAACACCCTTCTACCATCCTGATCATCGTGTGTATGGAGCAAAATGTCACACTGATGAACTTTGTTTGGAATCTTAATTTTCGAAAAACTCGCCTCGGCTTTACATGGTAATGGCTGTAGATAGATTTGGTAACTATATTAGTGTTTTAACCATTTTGCAATATTTTTTAGTTGGAAAGGGCATCCTTCCTGTTAACATACTTTATGTAATTTTTTAGCATTGGGATGGAAGCCAGGTATATTATAAAACAGAAGTCTACAGACTATGCGAAGCTCTTCATCAGGATCTATCACAATTTGTGGTTGGCTCATTCTTAAGGTGAGATTAATTTGATGGTACTATAAATTAGGAGCGTTAGTCGAAAGTGAAATATCATGCTTGATCCAGTATATTCACAGCTTTTAGATATGAACCAGGAGCTTCGTAGCGAACTTCAAGATGAAATTTCTACTAATAAGAGTAACGAGAAAAAAATTCGCTCCCTCGTAAAGGAGCTTGAGTGATGTTATCAAACTATCTCATTACAGGATAATAGTATTATAGCCCATGAGGGTGAGATAGTGGAACTTAAATCCCAAATATCCGATCTGCGAAAACAGCTTAAAATACTACAGCAAGATAAGAATTTCAAAGATGGGGTTGGGTCTGTTCAAGATAGTCGAATCATAGAGCTTGAAAATAAGGTTGGGTGTCTCAAGGCAAGAATCCGAATTCTCACAGATAAAAAAATCCCAATAGGTAATTTAGATATGGCAACGGCCGGTCTTATTGGAGACATCAATAGAGGATTAAATCGGATTGAGGGCCACATTAGAGGTGTTGGGATACCTATGCAAAACCCCGCCAATGTATTAGATGGTATCAGGGGCTCATTAAATACTATTCGGGTTACTTTGCAAAATATTACAGCCAAGCGCGATCAGTACCAGAACATATTAAATGATATAAATAACCGGGAACGGAATCTTGGGAATCAGTTAAGAGATAGTAGAAACCAGAATTTACGATTTCAACGTTTATTAGATGAATCCTGAGTTCAGGCTGAAAGAATTACGCAGATACATACAGATGCTTTAAATGATGAAAAAAGGCAGGTAGAGGATCTTAGGAATCAGTTACGCGATGCTAGAAACCAATATACAAATGCTTACTGGGGTCTAAGGAATAATTGGCAATTGGCTCAAAATAGGCAAGAATGTATTGGCGAATTGTTACGTGAAAATTTCGTCTTCTGACTATTAATTCAGCGTAAGGATACTCAAATCGCTGAGCATAGGAAAACCGCACATAGATTAACGGTGCACTATAATAATGATACAGAACACTGGAGAAGAAGGCATGCAGGTTGCATTCGCCAGGCGCAAAATTGGAAGGGACAATGTAGGAATTCGCAGAATCAAGTTCAGGCTCGTGACCAGAATATTTTAAATTTGCAGGAACAAATTTTGACGCTTCAGAATAATCCATTAGGAAATATGGCTAATGCTCATCTTAGACGTTTACCATTATTAAAAATATTGAATCCTAATCTTGGAAAATTTCAGTCTTATACCGGTCAAGAACCTCCTGATGAATACCTAGATAAGGTTATACAATCCTGGGCACATCTTGAAGGGTATATGACTCTTCTTGAAAATGCGAATGCAGGAGATTTCGACAATGCATACAAGTGTGAAATTTTAAAATCTATGATGGGAGGAAAATACACCCCAGTACCGGCTAATAATGGTCTTATAGCAGGTAATCCAGCTATAAATTCTCCAGATACATTACGGGCTTGGATGAGAGCAAAATACCAGCGAGAGACAGTTGGAAATCAGCAGTCAGCTATTCAAAGATTGACTCAAGAAAGATTTCAGTCATATGATACTCCTGACACATATGAAACCAGAATTCGGCCATTGCTATTAGGAGTGGCAGATAATGATGTGCAGGTTTTAGGATTTCTTAAAAGTCAATTATCAGGTGATCTTTACACTTGGATGAGAATTGCAAATCCAGCGGATATTGATGCATTTTTTACTGAATTGAAAAATTTGTGGTTGGAGCGTCCTTCTAATTTAAATGGGATACAAACTTCTCAGAATAATTCATCAGCTGAGATTGAAAAGTTAAATTCCCAAATAGCCTCTCTACAGGCACAACTAGCACAACCGGCTCAAGTACATCTCCAGAATAATGAAGTCTCGGCTAATTTTGAAAAGTTAAATTCCAAAATAGCTTCTTTGGAAGTACAGTTAGCAGAATCAATACAGGTGCATTCTAATCTTGCCCAACGTTTACAGCTACCAGAAAATGTAATTAATTCTAATAATGCTTTAACCTTTGATAGACATATTAATCAAGAACTGGAAAAAAGATTAGGAGTAATCGAAATTAATTTAGCCAAACTCACCAAACTTGTAAGAGAAGATACCAAATCAGCCCAGTATCGGTGTTCAGAATTCTCAGACTATAATAATGAAGGATTGGAAAAAAGATTAGAACGAATTGAAGCCCACTAGCCAAATTTGATAGAAATAATACCAGACGTGCCAAAACACCTCAGCGTCAACGCTCAGAGTCCTTACCTTTTGGAGGATTAGAAAAAAGATTAGGAAAAATCAAAGCCTTATTGGATAAACTCACTAAAGATTCCAAATCCAGAAGTAGTCGAGTTCATATGGCTACAGTAGATGAACAATCTAATCCCATTTTTTCTGATGATGATACATCAAAACCTGAGGATAATGATTATAACTCTGATAATTCGTCAGCCGGTTCAGACTCTGGAAAACGCGATATGAATGTTTACATAACTCATGGAAAAAAAAAGTAAAGTATGCTAAGTGTAGTCAGCATTCCAATAAGTCCTCAAGCGGGATCTTGAGAGAGACTATCAGCTCTAAAGTTTCTAACCAATCCAAGCCTCATAAGGTAAAGCAGAATGATAATTCATCTCCCGCCCATATTGTACCATCAGAAAAAAATAACCAAGGTAAGCGTGTGTCTTTAGAAGAAACTATTCGCAAAATCATTCAGAGCGTATTTGAGAATTATCTTCCATATATAATTCAGCAGGTTAAGAAGTGTGAGCCCATCACTCAAGATTTGGATGACAAGTCTATTGATGGTCCAATGGAGATAGATTTTGTCTGAAAGGAAGAACCATCTACAAGCATTGCATCTATAAAATGCAAGATGGTTGCCTAAAATTCCAGCCATGGCATTGGACTCTTGCTCTGAAATCGCTATCATAACAGAGGATATTGTATTACGCATAGGGGCTAACATTGATAAATCCATAAAGTATAACCTGAGTGGTATCGCTACTGTACCGGTTGAATCCGTTGGGGTTGTCCACAATTTACTGATAACCCTGGTTCCTGGATTTACTATATACAGTAGCGGTCATAAGTATCCGACCGCCCGAGATCGTCCAAAATTATTATATAACTACCCCTTAAATTTTC